AAAAGGAAAATCTCAGCTATTTTTTTATACAGTTGAATACGTAGTATCATATATTAAGTGAAAGAAAAAGTATACCTGTTTTTCATAATTTGTAAAAATTGTTACTACCGCAAGAAGAGTAACTTGTATGGTGGCCCCCACTAGTATTCCAATCCACAACCCTTCTCCTCTTAAGGAGGTGCAAAATCCCAACAAAGCAGCAACCGGGATCCCAAAAAGATAAAAAGCTGCAAGATTCACGTACGCCCCTAGATGCTGCCACCCCACACCCCTAGCAACACCTGCCACGTCATCAACACTCCCTCATTTTCACATACATGGGAGATGAGAGAGAGAAAGGAGTAGAACCTGAAAGTGTTCCTTGTAGACTATCCATTATGATGTTTAAGCAAAGAAGAGGGGCCATTTTTGTAACATAGTCGACGATTTCTTTTTCGTTAGTGAAAATGTATCCGAAGACATTTCTGCTTGCAGAAACAGTTGAGCTGACTATTGTTGTTTCAACAACTGCAAGGACCATGATCGCTTTCACTGCCACGCGGGCCCCTTTTGGATTCCCTGCTCCCAGTTCATTTGACACTCTTGTGCTGGAAAAAATAAAAATGACAGAATAGAAATGGAATTAGGGTCTCTTTAGACTTATAGATAGTTTCAAGATAAAGAAAGGGTACCTAACGCCTGCAGCAAATCCATATGGTATAGCATACAGTGTAGCAATAGTATTAAGACTGTTGATAAAATCCCACAAAAACAAATATCATTAATTTAATTATTTCTCTCTCAAAACATCAATATAAACATAAACCATACATACCACACAGAAAGAACCGAAGTCTCAAGCTCTGGATTTGGCAAAAGCCCAGACAACAAAATCAGAAACTCATATGACCACCATTCCAAGCTGCAAAATTTAAATCATTTTTTAAAATGGGAACATACCAATATTGGCAATATACTTTATCTTTTACATATAATGCCAATATACTTAATGTGAGGAAAGAGAATATTACCAAATCATGACAGCTGATGGGATAGCAAAACCAAAGAACTGTCTAATCCCATGAAAGACTTCCCATGAGATTGGAGAACGTGTTTTTGCACATGAAGGGGAGTAAATCATGTAAAACACAAGGAAAATAGCATTTAACCACATGGAAACACCCATGGATACTGCACCTCCAATGTTCCCTAATCCAGTTTTATACACAAGGGCCCAACAAAGAGGAATGTGAAGGCATAAAGCAACGATTGAACTAATAAGCATGGGAAACAGCATGCTTTGCATTTGGAAAAATCTAACAAGTGGTTGAAGAATTGCAGAAGCAAATAGTGCGGGAATAAGCCATGTGATGAATTTTCCAGCTTCTTGTGAAATTGAAGGGCTTTGACCAATAAAAAGGAGTAAATTTCCAGTGTATTTCCAGAAGATGGAAAGAGGAATGCATACGATTATTAGAGAGAAAATGGCAGTGTAAGTTAGGGTTCCGATTTTTTTGTATTGTTGAGCTCCGAATGCTTGTCCACATAAAGTTTCCAAAGCACTAGACATACCTAACTGTTGAACAAATTAAAAACAAAAAAGTTAGATTAAACATTAAGAATTTCATTTGCATAATATGGAAGATGAACGATCAAGTTTCATGTGGGGGTGGGCCATACATCATCCATCACTATCAATTTTCATGGACATTACAAATCAATTTACTAGTGGCCAAAAACTGTGTACATCGCAGTAAATTTTTATTAAAGTTGTGCAGTAGATATTGACTCAAAGACTCTGATTGGGCAGTGTTGAGTTGACTATATAATATGGAAAAGGACAACAGCATCATGACATACAAAGAAATGAATTTCCAAGAAAAAACAGAGGCAAATATTTGTCAACAAGTGAGTGGGCAATCCAAACTTGACTACTTCCTCTTTTATACACAATACTTTATTGATTTCTGAAATGCTATCTAAGTTGTTGAATATTAATCACAAAACATTTGAAAAGGCCAAATTGAATAGCATTAGTTCTATGTGTTTATATTTTATATCAATAAAAAAGTACGCTTTCCCTTTCAAGATGATATTCACATGGAAAGACGTAAGCACCAAGTTCAAACCCCAGTAAATGATATAATTACAGCCATCTGATGATATGCATATGCAGACAATATTTTTGTACATAGGTTGATATAATAAGTTAATAACAGCTATTTTAATATTCACATAAGGTCCTTAAAATTTACAACTTCAAGGCAACTGTTATTCCCTCTGTCTTTAAGATCTGGAATGACATTAAAGACAATCTTTTATGTACATATTAATCAAACGATTCTTTGTTCAATCTTTAAAGAAGAACGATAACTAGGAGAAATCATATTTATCTTTACTCTAAACTGTAAGCTTTTCTTTTGGGATTAAGAAAAATTGTAAATCAACTTCTTAAGAAGAGCAGAATGAGTGTTATATGGTGCTGAGCATCAAAAGCCACTCTGTAGTGCCAATAACAGCAATGAAATATCTCTATAACACACACACAAGGAATATTCAAACTTACAACTTCAGTAGTTCAAAGAAATTAGAGAGAAGAATGGAGCAACAACGATCCATGATAACATAATAAGGGTTTATTCTAGAATGAAAAGGGTGTATTTAGATTTATTTCTGATATTTTCAATCGTTGCTAAGTAGAACTAAATGAAAGTAATAGTACAATGTTAGGTTTATCATCACGTTGTTCTTGCTCCATCCTTCGTCACTACATATCATTGCAATAAATTTCTGAAAGAATTCATTAACTAAATGGTCCCATCCCCTATCTAATTGAAAACAGAAACATGACACTTGAACCGTATAACAACAGATTCTAGTGCTTTTCCGGAAACTTGTCAACAGCTTTACCCTGTTCATACTTAACGTTTTCTAATCATCATGTGTTTTTTCTGAAAAAGTCTAAAACCCTAAAAATCATCCCTCTGTTACTTGTTTTTACCAACTTGTGGAAAGGCATCACTACTCTAGATTGTCCTCACTATTCAAACAAGGAAACTCCACTTTGATGTTCTTCTGCCGCTTCTAATGGCTTTCGAATACAAAATCAGCATAGATGTTAAATGTTTATCACCAATGTTAGTTATATGGAGTTCGAAAAGCAACCGGAAGTTGAAACCAACTAGAAGGAGTACAAAGAGGCAAATTAATTACGACTTACATAATTCAAATTCAACAACTACATACTTAGACACAAATCAACACATACAACAAATGTGTGTGCATAGATATATAGATATATAGATATGTATGTATACAGAGAGAGAGAGAGAGAGAGAGAGAGAGAGAGAGAGAGAAGGGATAGGACTAACGATTAAGCTGAATCCGGTGACGCTGGAGAGGGAGATAGCAATGGAGGTACTAGAAAGAGAAAGTTCGCCGAGATGACCAACCATCATGACGGTGATAACCTGCAACAAGTACTGCGACAGAGTCACCGCAACCATCGGACCTGCTATAAATCCTAACTTCTTCATCTCGTCCGCCAACATCCGCCATGTTATTCCGTCAACTGTCTCTTTGACGATCAATCCTTCTTCCATTTCGTCTCTCCCCGTCGCCATCTCCGAGAGGCAAACGGAAAGAGAGAGTTATCGCTGCGATTGTGGAGGTAAAATGTTATGGGAGGAGAGGAGTTTGTTACAACGATAGGATTGTTTATAGCGCGCGATTGAGGGCGTTTTTGTAATTTCACTTAAAAAGACCCCTTCTCAAACGGGTCCTCTCGTCACAACCATCACGGAGACAGCTTTTTGTCGTTTTGATAAGAATGAAATGAATGATAACAAGATATTTCTCTTTTTATTACTATTATCTTATATTTTATTTGTTTATCTAACTTATTTAATCACTTTTAAGTTTGTTTGTTTTGTTTTTTATTTAGTTCTAAAGAATGCAAACAAAAAATTATAAAAAGTATCTTTAAAGGATTAAAAACAAGAAAATGAGGAATCAAAGGAGTTTAATTATTATGGATGCAAAAGAAGGCACACATACAACTTATAAAGATTATTGTCTGTGTAGTGATGAAGTGTTCGAGATTGAGTTTGAGTTTGAAAACAAAACATTTTTCGGTAAAAATATGTGATTGCTTTTTAGCTTATAAAGATTAATTGTGTATGTAGAGAAAAAGTCGAACATACAATTAGAGAGGGAGTGTTTGGTTTGAGGTTGAAAAAGAAAATAATAAAAATGTTTATTAGTTTATATGCGGCAAAAAAAATTCCTAAAAAATATTTAAATGAGATTATGTTGGTGACAAAAAGTCGAACATACAATTTATAAAAATTAATGTGTTTGTAGTTAGTGAAATCATATATTTTCATTTTGTATCTTTTGTTTTATAAATTATATGGAATATCTCAATAAAAAGATAGGTTTAAACAGGTAACATTTTAATAAATGAATTTTTTAATTAAATGAAGGTTTTATTATTTTATTAATAATAAGAAGAAGAAATTTTAATAAATGAAACTTTTAATTAAATGAAGGTTTTATTAGTTTATTAATAATAAGAAGAAGGAGTTACAGCAAATCAATAAAAAAACATTTCGGTCGTATTATATAACTTACTTTCTAATCCTTTGACAAATCTAGAAATAAAAAGAATTCAGATTTCATTACATATCAACCAAACACAATTGATTCCAGCTCATTTAGTTTCTATTTTTTTACCGATTTAATTTCTTCCAAAAACATTATATTATTACGGTTAAATTGAAAATAAAGTAAAAATGAAGTCCACAAGGAAGGCTAAGTAAACATCAAAGTAAGGAATATAATAAGATAAACCAAAAGGAACAACAAAGAGTCCAATAGTTACAAGACAAAATGATGGAGAAACATATCAATAAATCCAAAAAAAGGTGCGACCCACATCCCAAAATTTTAATTCATGTAACTTATTATTCTCCTATAATTATTTAACTCCTTCCACAAAGCAAACGAGCACATAACCAAAAATGAAAGAAGAAAAAGTAATTCAAGATCCATTAATCCAAAGGCAACATGAAGAAGAAGAAGAAGAAGAAGAAGAAGAAGAAGAGGAGGAGTTAGGTTTAAGAAGACAAGTATACGATGAAGTAAAGAAGCAAATAGGATTAGCATGTCCATTGATAGCAGTAAGCTTGTTGCAGTATTGTCTTGAAGTCATTTCAATCATGTTTGTTGGTCATCTTGGACAACTCCCTCTCTCCAGTGCTTCCATGGCTACATCTTTTGCTTCCTTCACTGGTTTTAGTGTCTTGGTGAAACTACTCATTAATCACACTATCTCATCTCCTTTTTTCGACTTCAATCCAAAATGATCAATATTTAAACAAATTATTGACTCAATTTTTTTGAACTTTTTTTATAGTTAGGAATGGGAAGTGCATTAGAAACACTATGTGGACAATCCTATGGAGCTAAACAATACCACATGCTTGGGATTCAAATGCAAAGAGCAACGTTGACTCTCACAACCCTAAGCATTCCACTTGCATTTATCTGGTTCTACACTCCCACAATCTTCATAGCTTTAGGTCAAGATCAAGAAATATCAAATGGGGCTGGAACTTTTATTCGTTGGATGATTCCAAGTTTATTTGCATATGCTTTACTTCAATGTTTAAATAAATTTCTTCAAACACAAAATATTGTGGTTCCTATGATGATAAGTTCAGGGATCACAGCTTTGCTTCATACACTTTTGTGTTGGGTTCTTGTTTTTAAATTAGGGTTTGGAATCAAAGGGGCTGCATTGGCTAATACAATATCGAATTGGGTGAATGTGTTTTTTTTGGGATTTTATGTCAAGTTTTCTAATGCTTGTTTACACACCTGGACTGGTTTTTCAAAAGAAGCTTTCCATGATGTTCTTAGCTTCATGAAACTTGCTGTTCCTTCTGCTCTTATGATTTGGTATGTTTACAGAAATAGCAATGTAATTTATATTTTTTTTAACCTATAATATAAATATACTTACATTTATCAATAAACTTATTTACATTTTCTTTATATTTACAATTCTCTGCTATATATTTGTCCGTTTTAATACCTGAAAAAAGTAAATTTTTGTATATAAATTTGACAATCGTGTATTGCAGCCTTGAATATTGGACATTTGATATGGTAGTTTTGTTATCTGGTCTTCTCCCAAATCCAAAGTTAGAGACATCTGTATTATCAATTAGGTTGGTTTTTCTCATTATAAAATTCTTTGCAATAAGAATAGGATTGAGTTTATGTTTGTTTTTTGGTTTTTTATTTGGGTTAATGTCGTTATAGGATAACGAAATGTTCCATTTGCTTGTCTTTCTACGGGTTTTTTTTTTTTTTTTAACAATGGTGTTTTGTAAAAAAAAAAAAAAATACTTAGTTACCCATTTATGACATTAACCTTTTTTATTTTGGCAGCCTTAACACATGTTGGATGGTGTATATGATTTCTGTTGGCCTTGGGGGAGCAATAAGGTTTGTAATTTGTAATATTTATAATTTTAATTTAATATATACTTTTATATTATATTAATATGTAACATTTGGTTATTTATTGTAGTACAAGAGTTTCAAATGAGTTAGGGGCATCAAGACCTAAAGCTGCACGTTTGGCTGTTTGTGTTGTGGTTGTAATAGCAATTTTGGAGGGTTTAATAGTAGGAACTATTACTATTTTAGTACGAAATGTTTGGGGTAAATTATATAGCAATGATGACGAAGTTATTAAATATGTTGCAAAAATGATGCCACTACTTGCATTATCAGATTTCTTAGATGGATTTCAATGCGTTCTTTCAGGTATGAATGATTAGTGATAAGTAAGTAAGTAACACATTATTTAATTTTTTTTATTTTCTTGAAAATTAGGTGCTGCTAGAGGATGTGGGTGGCAAAATGTGTGTGCAATTGTCAATCTTGGAGCTTATTATGTTGTGGGAATTCCTTGTGCATTGCTATTTGCTTTTGTTCTTCATGTTGGAGGCATGGTGAGATTTTGGTACCTTATTTTGAGTGTAAATTTGAAGTTTATTCATGATATGGTTTTATGAATTGAAGATTTGTGTTTTTAGGGGCTATGGATGGGGATCATTTGTGCACTTTCTGTACAAGTTGTGGCACTTGTGGCAATTAATTTGTCGACTAATTGGAATGATGAGGTACACTGATTTTCTGTTAAAGATTATTGTGGCTTATTTAGTACTGGTACATGTTAATGAATAATGATCTTTATTGTTGGATGTTTTCAGGCATTGAAAGCTATTAATAGAGTTCAAACAAGGAGAGGTAGTGAATGAATGATATTGTCATTTTGTTTTATAGAGTGTGAGGAGAAATTGAAATTGAAATTGAAATGTAATGATGGATATCACGTGTAAACATATTTAGAGGTGATAACACTTTTTGTTTCTGTATAGATTGGTGAACAATACCCGTTTGTAGAGCAATTATTGCTTTGATAATTCAGTTGACCACAATTAAAGTAGAATATGAGAAATCTGTAATGGAGGCATGAACCTAACAGACACATGCAAGAAAACTATGAAATTTGAAATTTGAAATCTGAAATCACATATTCAAGGCATATAATACCAATTCTAAAAGCGAATTAGCATATAAACAAGTACTAGTGAGTCATTTCCAGCAGAAAAGGGTTAGCAAAATGAAAATGTAACTGGATTGCTCGACACATTAATTAAAACGGTTAGCTTCACAGCATCCCTTCCATGGTTTTAAGAGGTAATATATATATATATATATA